AACAAGCTTTCAGAAACGCTAGCTTTAGTGATATAGGATCCCATCCTTACGAAACAAAACATTTTCTACCCAATCAACTTGGAAATCAAGAAATGTACACAAAAAAGGATTTTTCAGTTTGCTGAACTAGGGTTACAAGAATATGGGTAGAACACTGAGAATGCACAGGGCACAGATACAAAAATTAGACCTCAGTTGCCAGGTATACCTATTACATTTTCTTGCAAAAATAGCAAAAAGGATACTTTTATTTTTGACTGTTGGTTTCCTATATGGCAAACCAAAGTGCCTCATTTTTACTTTACTGTATTTTTAAAGGAATTCTCTGAGTCAAAATCTGTGCTCCTGGGTTCTATGAAGATGCCTTAGGAGTTTCAGTGGTGAGCAAACAGGCCTGCAGGCTCCATCCACGCCAACCCTCTTCAATCTCCAAAACACTAATTTTAACTTTAAAAAATGTGTGTGTGTGTGTGTGTGTGTGTGTATAAAGTATGTATTGGGGTAACATTAACATTTTTTTTTGTGGGGAGAAAAGTGGGAGGAGGAATTACTGGCAAAAGAAGGTTGGAAAAGCCTGCCCCAGTCTAGGACATCTAGACATTAGCTCCAAGTGTTACCTGTATTTATAGTCCCTTTGTAATTCCAGAGATATTGTGTCCAGATTGCCCAGTGTCCAGGGCATTCCTTGGAATGTCTCCAGATCTACTAGCCTTTCATTTGACCTTCAGTCCTGCATTTCTGACTATCTATTGGATATGGTCACTCCATCTCCTCAGACTCAAATCATCCACCTCCTCCACTTTCTCAGTCCTAGCCAGTGACCCCAGAGTCCTCTCTTGTACCCAGCTTCAAACTTGTGGGGTGGTTTTTTTTTTTTTACTTATCCTTCCTATCTAGTCAGTCACCAAGTTCGGCTTGATTTCTTTTCTTCTAAATATTACTGTCTCATATCTTTTTTCTGCTTTCCCGCTGCCCTTGACCCCAGTCCGATCAGAGCATCTGATGCCTGGGATACCTTGCATGGCCTCATGGCTCCATTCTGTTTAGGTCTAACTCATTGTTCCAGACTAACTCTGCTTTAAATGTTCCCTTTCATATCGGCACTACCTTCCACACAGCCTGAATGTTTTCCAGTTGGTTTTGAAACCAGACTATTCTACTTTGCTTGCAAGGCTCTTCAGAATCATCTGACCCCACTCTCCTTTCCAATTAGGTCAGTCTCCTCACTGTCATATAAAAATATTATTACTTTTCCAGCATTTGTACTTTTATATAAACATGTTGAGTTGATGTGACCTAAAAGGACCTGTCCTTCTGCCTATTTCATGTCTTTTCTCTCCTCTTTCCTCACCATGTTCTTCATATAGCCAAATACCTGCAGTTTCCTGAGAGCATTTGTCTCTGGGCATTTCCACTTGCTGTCCTCTTCCACTCTTAGTTTCCTCAATTAAAGTGGCATCTCCAGCGTTAACACTTCCTTCATCCTGAACTTCAGGGAAAATAATCACATCTTTCTTTGAGCTGCCATTGCAGCCTATACATGCTTCTGTTATAGTCCTTATTACACAATATTGTGATGTTTTGCTTATATGTCTGCCTGATGGCTCTATTAGACTGTGAGCCACCCTCTTAGAATAGTTTTAGACTTGATGTTGAAACAAGGATCCCCGAGCTCCAATAGCTACCAATTGTTTTGTATTCTCAGTGAATCACTTTAGTAATTCAGTAGGTCTTTGTTGAATGAATAAATGAATGATATTTCTACCTAAACTCTTCTTACTCTTCAAGCATTAACCAAAGCCCCTCTTTTTCTCTGAAGTCTTTTTTGACCTCTCTAGTCCTCCATTCCTCCTCTGAAGTCTCATACTTCCTATGGTTGTAGTATAAAAATTAAGATGATTTCTTTAACTGGATTGCAAGCTCCTTGAGAGCAGGGACACATTTTTATATTGTCTCTGTCACTGCACTGATGACAGTACTGAGCACAGAGTAAAAGCTAAATAAATATTTGCTTCATGATTAGAGTTATATAAATCTGTGCTTAGGAAAATAATGACAGCTTATAGTATATCTGGAAAATCCTGTTTTCCATATTAAGATTACACTCAGGAAATTCAGAAAATACTTAGTGAATACCTGCTAATTTCCTGCCACCAAACCAATGGTTGGGATACACACATGAATTCTATCACTAAAGAAGTTCTTCCCAGATAAAATTAGTATGGATACATGGAAGCTGTGTACATGTCTTTCACTTTTAAATTTGTCAATCTGTAAATATTTAATTGATTGGCTAAGTAGTTTTTGAATGAGCACCAGATTACTTTGTTTTTTTGGAAAATAGGTATTTTGTAGTTCTTCCTGTGTGATTTTTCTCATGGGAGCACCGAAGTCTTTTTTATATTTGAGATTATTGTGGTCAAGAAGGCACAGGATAAGTCTTGTATGATCTGGTCTAATTTTTTTGAAAGGGTCCAGTCTTTGTTTAGAAACTAATAGAATGGACAGGACTAATCTGACTAAATTGTACATGTGCCATAACTTGAGTGCTCACCAGCTTATTTAGGCTGACCAGATGCCACTGAATGGTATCTGTCATGGTGCTACGATGCCTTCTTGCCAGCATTACTGACCAGAGTCCTAGGGACTGTCATCAGGCCTGCATAGAATGGAAAGGTAGGTGCTGCCCTGTGTTGTGCAGTTCCAATCCTTTGCCACATCTTAGGACAACTGTCTCACTCCTGATTTAAATCTAGGTTGAGTTTCTTGTTTTCATGTTTCATTCTTTAGGAAAAAAAAAGTATTCTTTTTTCTTCTGTTTACTTAAAATTTTTAAAAAATTTTATTTTTAATGGAAGTGCTGAGGATTGAACAACCCAGGACCTTGTGCATGTTAAGCATGCGCTCTACTACTGAGCTATACCCATTCCGTCCTTGTTTTCCTGTTTCTTTATGTATTATTTACTCATAATCTAGTGACTGCTATATTATGCATGACTACTATAGGCCAGACGCTATGCTTGGTGCTCAAGGTAAAAAGGTGGAACAGTAGAACCCCTGTCTTCGAGGAGGTCAATTGGATAACTAGATAGTAAAATGTATATGCCATTGTAGAAATAATGTTTAATACTGCCTTATGTTGCCT